ATCTCAATTTCAAAAATAAAAATATGTAGAAATTCTAATTTGTGAAATGAGGCACTACAACTAGCTTTTTCTTGACAATTATACACGCTGCAATAGGCAACCAATGTTAAATTTGTGCAAGTCGTCCCTACTCCTCCGGATGTGATCAAGGTGACAGCCGGCAACGCCTCAGACGAGGGAGAAAACCTGTTTGGGTTAGTCTACTTCTTATAAGGTCCATGACTGAACATTTCTATTTGACAAAGATATCATAAATTTATCTCTTAAGAAAGATTTAAAAAAAAAAAAAAAAAAAAAAGGTTTCAAGATGAAAATAATGACAAAAAATTTTCTACAGACGCCTGTCCAAACAGTATAGTGGTTAGGGGAGCCAACCGCGATACCAAACGACCTGGGTTCGAATCCCAGAGAAAGCATGGTTGTAAAGCTGCATTCAGATGGCGGCATAAAGAGGATAGAGGCATAGCCATAAGGGCATAAAATATGAGAATTCTGTTCATACCTGCAAGACGGCGGTCCAAGCTGTGGCCAATGAGAGAAGCTAAATTTGCGCATGTGTGGATGTATGTATCTACACCTTTCGCGCACTGTTTTCCAGCTCGAATGATTTCCCGCGCTCCCTATGCTTATTTTCGTTATTTTGTGTCATGGCTTTTTCAGCTCACCACAATGTTTTACTGGTTCAACAGAATGCTCTTTTATCTGCCCTTCTTATAAGACAAGAAGCAACCGAAGAAGGTAAAAAAAGAAAAAGAAGAAAACGGTCTAGAGATATTTTTTTTTTTTTTTTTTGAAAGACCAATACTTGGTTGGCACATATTTCTGTGAAAAGCAGTATGAAATATTTCTGCATTGTACTGTAGTACTCTCTATACTAAAAACATGCACATGCATATTTATACATATAAAACCTTCTTCAATTTTTATACATAATTTTTCTTAGGAGAAATACAATATTCTAAATATGCCTAATTTAAAAAAAATCTTGAGGATAAGTGACAGATAGCTTGTATATAATATTTTTCCATTTTGCAGGTGTGAAAGCAGTTAAGCGAAAAACAGTACTTAAACATGCATTTTTTTTTTTTTTTTTTTTAATCAAAAGGAACATGTTTCCGTGCTTAGCACTCCTTATTCACTGTTACTGCCGATCACTACAGTAGTTGTCTGCACTGCCAGTATCAATTATCACTAGTACTAGTATCCCACAACTGTTCACCATAACCAGCAACCACAACTAGTACAATATTATGAAATATTCACCCAACAATATATTTTATGCTCAAACATTAAATACATTTTGCCATGTTGCCAGCTGTTTGTATACATCTATTTCTAACAATTTGCATGTATGCAAAACACCCCTGAATTTCATATGCTCTTTCTGAAAAAAAAAAAAAAAGGGGTTTACACTCGAGAGACTACAGCACATAGTAAACACTAACTTTCAGGAATTTTTGTGGATAATTCTGCAAACTGGTATGTTTACATCATATGAGTAATTCAAACTAAACTCAACTCTGCTCTGCTGTGAGATGTCATAGATGTAAGTTTCATTCACGTCTGTTGACAAAAATAATTACTTTTAATGATTTTTCATTAGCTGACAGGTTATGAAAATTCTTTACTCACTGCCAGACATGCATATTAACACACCAAAAAGAGTTTAATTTCAACACATGCTGTCATTTCTATTTACGACCAATATCTCAAAAGTAATTTCACATATTCAAATTTTAGATACTTAAGTCTTCAAATACAAAAAAACTATAAACATTCATACCTTATCCAGGAATTTCTACAAGAGAAATAGCATGAACTTAATGATCAAAATTCCATTCAAATGATAGCAATAAAGAGTGGATAATAATAACAAATACAATTCCTTAAATGATAATCCATTTTATGAATTACGTGTGCTATTCAGTTTTATTAAAAGTAAATTCCTTTCATGGAGAATGTAATTAAAAAACAGAACAGAACATCAACACTAGACAAAACTATCTAGACTGTTGATTGTTGTTTTAAGGATATTTCACATTTTTTCCTTCTTGGAAATCATAGAGCATTTTCAAAAGATTAATCTTTTCCTTATACAAAACATACACATTGAATTGTATTGTGATTATTCTTAAATAAGTGGAAATATTTTTCTTTTTTTTTAAAGTAATATTCACTGTAAAAAAAACAAGCAGATTCTTGATATTGATTTGATGTTTAAAATTAATTCATGAAGTTGTTTGGAAGAAAATCAGCATTTGAAGCAATATGCAAACAATATTTCAGCTTTTCAATAATTTATTCTTAAATACAAAAAATAAACTAAACAGGAAAGAAATGATAGTAATAATTTATACAAAAATAATAAGCAGAAAGAAAGTAATCATAATTTACACAGAAAAAAATAAAACTTTTGTAATCATGCATTTTTTAAAGAATTTTCATAATAAAATGAAAAATAATGGATGAGATCAATCGTCTACAGGATCATACACAGCATGCATGATCTTGAGCTTAACTTTCGCATTACGAGTTTCATCCATATTTTTCAATTTATTGTGAAAACTCATTAAAAAATGCCTGTCATCATCATGGATTTCTTGCAAGACCAACTCATTATTTCGTTTGGATACGATTACAACTCGTTCAGATACAATGTGCTCCATATTAAAAGAAATGTCGCCTTCGATGTGACAGCAAAATTGTCTAAAGAAAGCCACTTCGTTTTAGCTTCGCTCTGATTGGTCGATGCTTATCCCAAACTCGGTGTAAAGTTGAAAACTTGGAACCTTCTGCCACAAGCCTTAAACCAGATTATGTGACGTAGCACGGACTGGTTGTCTTGGCAATGCAACTCGGCTTTAACCACTTATGCCCTTTATGCTCCCGTCTGAACACAGCCTAACTGTCCATCCTTTCATAGGAGGCAAAGGTGGCCCACCCGTTAGCTGCTTCCATAATAAAGTGACGAACAAGTCTAGTCTTGGTGTTGGCCAAGCCAAATTCGGCTGAAGACCCGTCATTAGGGGGGGGGGGAATTACACATGTTGCATACTTATTTAAGGCAAAATAGATACCACTATTGTTCCTTCTTGCTGTTTGTAAGGTCACTAATTTACTCTAAACATTGTAAAGCTATGAATGAATGGAAGGCTTCAATGATGATAGGATATAACAGATGACAGGAATAAATTTGGATGTAAGTCTTAGTCTTCCATCAAGGTTTTTTCTAAAACCACTTGACATTCAAACAAAAGTCAATTAACGTCAATGGTAACAATGGTCACATCGGCACTGATTACTTTTGGAATTTGTGTATGAAATTTACTTGCAGAACGCACATTTGATTTACTCTCCTTTACAAAATGTCTATTGTGTATCAAAGGTACTGGATAACCTTCTTTATGGGATCTCATCTGTATGAAAGGTTTTGGTGTACTGTAATCTAGACCAGGATTAATGTCACCAAGATTGTACTTTATGCAAGGATAATAAATTTACTAACAAAACTCGTTTCTCGTAAATTTTTATCCAAAATTCAATAAATACGGTTCCAATAGCTCTATATTCAGTTAATATGGGATTGAATCACTGTTCATTTCCATAATTAAAATTACCACTTTATGATCACTAATTGGAGTCTACTGAAGCAGGACAAGAAAATTCCCTGTGAGCCCTGAAATCACACATTTAAAGTTCAAGAAAATGGTTTTCAAATATGTTTCAATGATTAAAAAAAACACCTCTAGCATAAGTGCACAACAAATGGAAAGGATTATTTTAAAAAGGACATAATAAATATTAATTAATAATTATAGAATCCTTACATAAACATTTTGATCAAAGGATGCAGGTTTGAATTAAAGTAAATGTGTATTATAGAATACAGTCAAAAGTCTTTAATCCGGACGTCCATAATCCGGAATGATCTGTAATCCTGACCTCAAAGCTACAAACTTTCTGCGCATGTGTAAACGCATAATGCATTTACACATGCGCATAATACCTTTACGCATGCACGTTTAACGTATAACGCACGGTATAAGCTAAGCTAAAATTATCTAATTATCTATTTCAGTTAAAGTTGCAGATTGCGTTGTTCCTTAATCTTCTAATTGCATCTGGCTTGTTATTTTTTGCAGACTGTTAGAGCAATTTTATAAAAGTAAGCTTGAACTTTCGATTATATCAAAAACAATTTCTGATTCTGGAGCTGCCAAAGGATGTACAAAGCGAAAGCATGTTTCGATGTCCATCACACAAAAAGTGGAATTGCTGCAAAAAATAGATAAAGGCATATCCTTTGTCTCTCTAACCATTCCGAAATCTGTTTATCAATTTCACGCTGCTCTGCGGGGGGGCGTCGTGGCGCACAATGAACTGGAAGTTGATCTGTCAGCACTATCCTTATCTTCAGGGCAGATGTTTTTATTTTATTCAGCTTATAATTTCTTACTAAATTTAGTATTTCATCTCGATGTACTCCGTCTTTGATATGATTTAAATCAAATTCCTCGTCATTATAAATATCATGAATACATGTCAAATAGTTTTCTGGTTGCAATTTTCTAATTTCGACTATGCGTAATGTATGCTTTACGCATGCACATGTTGAAAGAAATGTTTAATAAAGTCAACAAATAAATATTAAGCTTTTTTATTTTTTTTTTTTTTTTTTTTTTTTTTTTTTTTTTTTTTTTGTAAATTTGATACCTTTTAGATCATAATTGCTCTTTATTTCATAAATTACGGTTTCATATTTTTTATTTTATAATTTCTGCATGTCATCTTACCAGATTTAAACTGATGATCTATAATCCGGAAAAACCGATTATCCGGAATCGCCGAAGTCCCGACGAGTCTGGATTAAAAACTTTTGACTGTATTAGTATTATAGTGCTTGGAATTCATATTTAGCAATAATCCCAAAATAGTCAATATCATTTTACATTATCAGTTTATAAACCATAATTTATACAAAATTCACAGAACAAACAAACCATTTGAACATCTGGATTCGGCACTTCCTGCTCTCCAACAACATATGCCAAAATCACCATAGATAAACCAAAGGCAGTGAGACAAATAGTGAAGACAAGTAGAGGTGGTTGACCAGAAATCAGGCTCTGACTAACACTGTATCCCATTATGTTTCCTAAAATTAAATAAACGGGGAAAAAATATTACATACACGCTCATCTTTCAAAGATGAGTATAAAAGAAAATTAATTTTTATTTCTAAATGTTAACAGATCCATGTATAAACCAAGAGGGAAGATTTTCCTGAAAAAAATCATCCAAAATTTAAAATTGTTCTATAAATCAAGCAAAATGTTTTCAAGTCATACAACTCTGTTAGACTTGTCAATTTACTATGGCTAAAATTCAGTTTTAATACTGTGTTTCTAAATAGGTTGATTCATAAGCTTTCGATAATATGCCAGTCGTAAGGTTACCCTGAGGGGAATGCACAATCCAGTTCCTGCTGCAAAGAAATTTTAAATTTGTGATTATATTTCCCCTTATATTTTGCAACTAGCGGGCAACACAGTTTTTACTTTTTTGGGAAGCAACGTTTTCAGCAGTTGTCACTGTAGTTACTTTAACATATTCTTTTTGTGAGCTTAATAAATATATACATTAATACAAACCATGTTTTTTTATTTTTTTTTTTCCTATATTCCTAATGCTAACCTCTAACAGGTTATGAGCCGAGCATGCTTTAAATGTGCAGGAAAAAAAATTCAAAAGCAAATTGGAGATAAAAGTTAGTCAGCAAATTAACTGACAAAAATGGAAGCTGCAAAGATATCAGTTAAGTCATTATGAAGAAAAGTGATGGGCCTATTTGAAAATATCGAATTACGTTTGTATTAAGTTATCACAAAGACACTTTAAAAGTCATGGAAGGAAAACTGAAAAAGCCAGGCAGCCCGATCAAGCTGCCGCTGAAGATTCAAAAGAGATACAGAGATGACGTAAAGGTTTTTAATACAGCCAATAATTGCGCTATGATGCTTTTTACAAACTCCATGACTGAAAATACTTTAGAAATGGTAATGAGATTTGACAGCACAAGGGACATTTGGCTCGAACTTCACAAAATATTCAGACTTATCTGATAACCAACTTTACAATATATGTTTACAGTTCTTTAAATTCAATTGGTCAAATGATGATATGGTTGCTCATTTATTAAAACTGATAAATTTATAGAATGAATTGAACACTGGACTTAAATATAAGAAAGAAAACAGACTCCCAGAAATACTGTTAATCTGTAAAATATTGGACACTCTTCTTCCCAGTTATTGGACTTTCAAATTGAGTTAGTTACTGCTTAGTGATGAAAAGAGAACCCTAGAAGACTTAACTACATAACTGTATACCCATGAAAGAGAATTTAGAAAAGATACAAATTTTGTAGAAACTTTAGATCAGCAAATATTGATAGCTAATTCAAAATTTAAGCAGAAATCTGTCCCTAACAAGAAAAACAATGACAAGTGTCGTTATTGCCACCAGCGAGGACACTGGGTCAGAACATGCAAGAAGTTGATAGCTGACGGAAAACCACTAAACCTTATCTTACACACAAGGCCGAACAAAGGTAAGAGTAATATTGCTGCAAATATGACACTCCTAGTTGTAGAAGCGGCAATATTTTCTGCTGAAACAAATTCTGGTGATTGGCTTATTGACATTGGGGCCTAACCGTGTCGTCAATAACAGCCAAAGCTTTATAGACTTTGAAAAATGTGAGCTTCCCCATAGCATCACTGTAGCAAATGTCATTACCAGCAGTTGGCAAAGGCACTATCAAGATAATGACAATTGTAAATGGGGTGAATCAAATTAAAAATATTGAAAATGTCTAGTATGCTACAGAAATAAGTAAAAATCTAGTTTCTGTGTTAGCAACTTAAGGCAGAAACCAGAACAGTGTATTTGAATCAATATTTAAGGATTGTTATTTAAAAATACATGGCAAAATAGTTCTGCATGATACAAGAAACTGCAGTGAGGGTCTCTTCAAAGCCATGATGAAGACCTTAGTTCCTGAAATTCATATTGACAAGCACAATGTTTAAAATTTGTAAACAGAAAAGAGGTTACAAAAGTTGGAGAATTGTTCTCAACAGACATTTGTGGGCCATTCAATAAATCATTTAAGAAATATCGATACTTCGCAATCTTCAAAGTTGCCTACACCATATTTCGATACTCTTTTTTTTTAAAAGAAAAAAATCAGAAGTAAAGGATATGCTTGAAAATCAGAAGTAAGTTAAAGAAATCCTCAGTGACAATGTTGGAGAGTTTGACAACTAATCAGTTTAAAAGATCTTGAACCAGCGTGGAATCTCACAGAAGCTCACAACTTCATATATATCACAGCAAAATGGCAGTGCTGAACAAGAGAGCAGTTCTCGAAATGGCCAAAACACTAAAATAATCAAATGAAGAAATCTACTTTCCTTCCTAATTCAAGTCCTTATGAATTACGGCACAGTAATCTGTTCCCAAGATGTCATATTTGAAAACAAACATTTCATGGCGAGAAATATTATAACATTGCTATTACACTGTCCATCCAACAAGTTTCTGAAAGAAATCTATCTCAACATGATATTGAAAATAAAGTAAGAACATGTGAAGGCTCCAAACAGGAAGATGAGGAAGTGGAGGATATACCAGAAAAGAAGACTCGACCCAGAAGACATATTTCAGCACCTAAGTGAACAAAGAATTATATCACGGAAAATTCAGATATTAATGAAAAAAAATCCTCCAGAAATAAATGGAATTGCAAGTGACAATTCAAGAAACAGGAATGTGAAGACTCAGCACCCAAGAAAGCTTTTCAGAATGATCCTGAAACTTTGAAACCAGCATTAACTAGTCCAGATGCAGAAAAATGGAAGTTAGCAATGGAAAATTTAAAAGGAAATGAAACTGAACATAGTGCCTAGGCCAAAATAAAGTTGTGAAATGCAAGTAGATTCTCAGGTGGAAAGACATACATCTTGTTTAGTTGCTTGTGGTTATACCCAAGTCGAATGTGGATGACCTCCTAGTAATGTCCAGCTCCATCATTCAGGAATTTAAGGAAAATATTGCAGCCACATTTAAAATCAAGGACTTGGGAAAAATAAATTACCTTCTTTCAATTAGGATAAGCAGGAGAGAAGATGGCTCAATTACTCTTGATCAAAATGTCCATGATACTGAACTCCTGCTAACAACCAATATGGTAGATGCTAAAGGAGCATCAACACCATTAGACCCAGGTATGAAATATGCACCAGCCCATTAAGGATAACATGCTGGATGCTGAAGGAGCAAAGGCAGGCTATTGGAGGACTTTTGTACATGGCAGGAGGACCAAGGCCTGATTTAGCCTTTGATACCACTTACATGAGCCAGTTCAATAATTGTCCAAGCAAGGAACACTGGGCTAGCATACAACGTATACATTACCTAAAACAGACCAAAGAATTAAAACTGACTTTCCAAAAGACTAGGAACTATTTGGAACTGTTCTATGATTCCAAATGGGATGGTGATAACATAGGTTAGACGATCATTTAGTGGCTATGTTGTATTGCTAGCAGGTGGAGCTGTCTCGTGGAGTAGCAAGAAGCAAGATACGATTGCCTTGTCAACAACTGAAGCCGAGTACTTCTCAAAAAGCCATGCAGCCAAGGATGTGCTGTGATTCCAAAGCATTTTGCAAGAAATTGTGAGAGAAGATTTTTTTAACTTACAAAACAGGCATTTTTAACTTACAAATTAGGGCATCATTTCTTTAGCTAAAAGCCATGTTACTTTAAAGTGTAACAAACATATTGAAATCGGGCATCTTTTCCTAAGACAGAAGGTTGAAGAGAAGATGTTAAACTAACCTATGTGGTTTCCAGTTCAAATGCATCAGAGATGTTGACTAAGAGTGTGCAAAAGAAACCCTTGTTTAAACAAAGATTCAGTGTAGGGCTGAGGGAAATTTAATCATGGGGAAGCATTGCAAATACATTTTTATTTTGTGACTGTATTTCCCATTACATTTTGCAACCTGTGTGGCAACATGGTTTTTACTTTTTTTGGGGGGGCAACAGTTTCAGCAGTTGTTATTATAATTATTTAACCATGTTCTTTTTGTGTGCTTAATAAATATATATGTTAAAACTTTTTTATTTTTTGTCTCCATTCATTCTCTAACACCTCTCCTGGAAGTTTTTCATTTCTTCAGTAAAGTAAAAATTAAAATTTTCTTCCAAAGCATTCAAATGTTTGAAATCTTGGTAATTACGTTACCAGAAACATTCATATTACTTTCAATTATAAACATTTGAAATATTTCAAAACTTTCAGATGTGTGGTCTTCAGTGTTGTTTTTCCATAAAAGAATTTTTTTTCTTTTTTCTTCTCCTAGCTGCCCAACCAGGATAGTGGTTAATGACTCTGGAGCAGGGCAAATTCAAATCCCAGAGAAGGCATGGATGTTTGTAAATGTATAGTGTCTGTAAGGCATGAAGGGCACTCTACATATGCGGCATGCCAAAATGCTTCTCTAGAAGTTGGTGATAGAGGAGGAGGCGTGGGAGACCCTCGGACCCATTCTTCCAAGATGTTCTCTCTAAAACTTTAGGTTGAACTGAGCTAAAGTTGGGCTGTCATCTATATGGTGTTAACAGCCCTTGCCAATGACAGGTGCGTTTGACTCCTTGCCAAGAAGAATGTCATGGGAGTGTGCCAACCATTGTCGGACAAGTGCGAACGGTTACAACAACAAGTAGTAGTTTGACGAACCCTTCAATTTTGTCATGCACTGTAAATCTACCTGTACCTTCCATGTCTTGTAAGTATATAAATTTAATTCATTAAGTTTGGTTATATGTCTGCTAAATACATGAGCTTCAAAACAAATTTAAGACTATGCAACAAATTTTCTAGTATGTCTTTATCACTGAAATACACAGTGACTTCTTCATAGAGTTCCACAAGTCTTGTTAGCATTTTCCCTCTCCACAGTCAATGTACGTTCACATGCAGAAGTGATTTGTGGGATTCCTTGACACATCTGGATTAGTTATATTCAAGTACATGTTTAAAATGGTATTTGTTTTATAAAGCTTAGTGTATCAAAAGGGTTATCCCCTTGTGGTTAGATTTCCCCCAAACTTAT